AATTAATAATTTATAACTATTTTTTAATCGACAGAACACTATATTGATACATATTTGAACAAACTGAAATTTCAAAACATCCTAGCTTCAAATTGTATGATGATAATTTATAAACAAATTATTATTTGATTTCTTTTTTGATCTATTACTACTTAATTGAATTTTTTTTTAAAAAATCATATACACATTATAATACTTATATGTATACTTACTTATTCCTTGTCAGTATTTATGTTTTGAATATTCAATGATTAAATTGTATCTCTCAACAACAAACATTGCTCAAATTTTGTGATAATGATAGTTCTTTCATCAATTACCTTAGTTGATGTAATACAGCATTTATATTTTTGTGTGATAAATAATCAATATAATTAATTTATTTTATTCAACAACAATTGATATGTTTTTTGGTAAACTTTAATGTGTTTATTGTGTTTTTATATGCCAAAATATCATTAAAAATTGTTTTTGTTTTTAAAAACAAAACTTTACACAAGAGAAAGTATAAACTATTTACCAAAATTAGAGCACACAAACATATTCAAATGTATTGGGTTTTTCCAATAATTTGAAAAGACCGAATTATTTATGATATATATAATACGAAACATAAAAACATATTAGTCCAATTGAATAAATTAAACATATTTGCATGATTATTTTTTCTTGCTTTCATTTGAATTCCCATCTTTTCATTTATAAAATACCTGCTTTAAAAAATCAAAAACCTATAAACAAATGTTTCTGTATTTTATTCTCATAAACAAAAATTTGTGTCATAAGTGACTATTTAAGTCACCTTTACTTTAATTTCATATTCCAAAAAGGAATAAAGGGTAAACAACAAATGGTTGATTGCCAATTATGATTGTATTAATGGTCATACACACAACTTTGCCATTTGACCATATACATTATTGAACAATACTGTCACACTCTTATCACAACATTATCAGTAATTTTATATTAACAATGAAATGTCTAAAATTTTCAAACTAAATTGAATTAAAATATCTTCCAAAATAAAAACATCATTATCTCCTCATATACAAAATATTTCCAATTTATTTTCTTTCTTAAAATTATTATGTACTTGACGAGTTGCTTTTTAATTATCCTTATTGGTATTTTTGTGATGTATTATGAAATATGAAAAAGTATATTCAAAAAGTGTGTCAGTTTAAAAATTAATTCGCAAATTCCAAAAGATAAGTTGGTTTGTAAACATCGAAAACAATCAATTAAAATATTCAATTGTAGGATAAAGTGGATCTAAGCAAGGTGAGGCAAGTCCCCTGTTAAATCCTGACAATTTGCCAAAAGTGCATCCTTAAATTAAAAATATGAGCATTAAATTGAAAAAAAGAAAATTATGACCAAATTATTTGACAAAAAAAAAGAAAATTTTTGTTTTTTTTCAAACATCAATTTTTCCTTTATTTTAACAAATTAATTAATTCAAACATAGTTAAGTTACTATAAAATTATACTAAAAAATATTTTTCAATCAAAAAATAATATAATTTTTAATTTAGTGTTTTATTTCGTATATTAAGTTTAATTAGTCGGGAAAAACGACCAAATAAAACACCCTATTATATAAAAAATCAAAAGAAAAGGTAGAATTATCCCGATTTTAAGCATATATTAATCCTATTAAATAATCCCATAAGAACAAGTTCTCAACTTGTAATAGTTTATTGTAAATAGTATATTATATTATATACAAAAAATATTATGTTTATATAATAATAATAACAAATTAATATATTTTGAATTTATTTAAATATTAATTTTTGAATAGACATATATATTAAAATGAGTTATATTATATATATAATTTATATATTTATTATAAATATATAAAATATAATGATATTATATCATTGATATATTTTAATTTAAATGATGATACAGAAAAAACAATTGATGAAATAAATATAATATATCCAATTAAAATTAACACCATTCAAACTAAATTTATTTAGTAAACAACATCTAATAAAATAATTAATAAATTATGTATTCTTTAAAGAGAAAAACATAACAATGACCTTGCCAATATGATTAATTCGAAAATATACGAAATCAAGAGCTTTAAAACTTTAATTTGAAATAATTTTAAACTGTTTTAAAAAAGACTGAAAATTATATAGAGTCATTTGATAAACGTTGTCTGGTCTGTAACGTTGTCTGCCGATTTTTAGACCATTTTAAATATTTCGGGAATTTTTTTGAAAAACCAAAAAATCGTTGTTTCAATATTTTTCCTAGTTTTTTCATTTTTACATTATTCCGGTTTTTTTTAAAAAATCAATTATTTTTTGTCAAAAAGACAACGTTTATCGACTGACTCTACATAACTTTTTACCAATTTTTTGAATACCTTAAATATTCCTTTTAGATATCAAAAATGAATAAAAACACTTAAATTTTGTATGATTTTATTCATTTTTTAAATCAAATAGGAATAATTAAAAACTGTTTTAATAATCTTAATTTGAGGTAGGCCGAAATTTAATATAGCCTTAATTGATTGGAATACTTTATTAAATATTTCAATCAATTGAACATAGCATTATCTTGGTGATAATTAAAATTAAAAAACGGTAATACAAATGATAATATAAACTTTATTTAAAATGGATTATTATGTTTAAAACCTTTAAATCTCATAATGTTTAGAAATAACAACACTTAAAACCACAATAGGGTGATAATACTTGATCACAACTAATTAATTTAGTTTTGTGGTAATTAACCATTTTTTAATTATAATAATTATTACTACGATTTGTGACTCAAATCGTTTTGAAGTGGGTTAAATATATCGTATAAAAAACTTTT